CTCCTCCCATCTGGCAACCATCAAAGCACTCTTTGTTTCTGTACTTGTTTGCTTAGTTTGTTTTTTAGATTCAGTTGTTGATAGATTTGTATTTTTTTTGCCATTTTATTCATAGTTTTGATCTTTTTCTTAAATGAGTCCCTTTAACATTTCATATAATAATAGTTTGGTCATGATGCACCCTTTTAGTTTTTTCTTGTCTGTGAAGCTCTTTATCTGCCCTTTGATTCTAAATAACTGCTGGGTAGGGTGATCTTAGCTGTAGGCCCCTTCAGAAAAATCTTAGCACCTCCTTTGTATATGGTGTGATACTGCTCCCTATCCAGTAATAATTAAAACAATTAATAGAATTTGAGGTTTAGTAGAGACATTTTATAATTAAAAGGTTTTGTGAAACCTTTTTATAATTATGAGGAAATAAAGTTATATAGATGTTTAAGTTATTGAACTGTAGAACTCATGAGACATAAAAAAGGTTTTACTATACTGCTTATTCGTATTTTAGATCTAATTTATATATGTATAATGTATGTACTTCAAAATTAGATTACTTTTCTAAAAAGGAATATAGTAGTACCTTAAACTTCCTTGGGATTTAGTTAGAAATACATCATCCCTGGGGATTATGTTTGGAGATGGCAGTGACAGTATCATTGTTTCTGTAAAGATTATGCACATCTTCCCTGTGTGGTCCAAGTAGTCCTAAGATCACTTCCTTTCCTATGAGAGAATAGCTTCCTAACTATTTTAGAATGAGTTCTGCCCCTTGAAAGTTTGTCCTGGTCACAATGATAATGAGAGGAAGAGGGTTGTTTAACTGTTTCTACAATATAACAATATAATTAATGCAGGCACTAGAGAGTTTGGCATTAAATTTGGTATGTAAGTATTCAGTATGTACAAATGAAAGTAATGGTGTTTCTATAATCAAAATCTAATTTTTTTTGCCTCCTCAGCGCTGGCTGACAGAGCAGAGAGCTCAGTGTCCTCATTGCCGGTGAGAGTTTTGCTATGCTTATTTGTGAATTTGGAAAATAATAAGGTGATGGAGTTAGAGTATACTGGAGCATTAATAAAGTTCTTTCTGCAATCTGCTGCATTTCTTCTCTTTGTAAACACAGCTGAAAAGAGAAGTAACCTTTCTAGATACGGTAATGCAAACTAATTTATCTGACTTAGAACTATGTAAAATGCATTGCTTTGTTTACCTTCTTTTAGGAAATCATGCATGTGTGACTTGTTAACTTGCCCTTTTTTTTTTAAAGATTTTATTTATTTATTTTTAGAGAGGGGAAGAGAGGGAGGGAAACATTGATGTGGTTGGACCCCAAATGGGGACCTAGCCCACTACTCAGGCATGCACCCTGACCAGGAATCGAACTGGTGACTTTTTGGCTTGCAGGCCAGTGCTCAATCCACTGAGCCACACCAGCCAGGGCCCTTTTATTCTTCTAACTCACTTTTTATAATGGAAAAATACTAAAAACGTTTCTGGTTTTTAAGATCTTGATTAAATCTAGATAAATATAAAATAAAAAGTCTGATTCTGTTTCTCCCCTCCTAGTCTTTTCATGAAATAATACTTTCAGATGAAATTGTTAGGTTTGGTGTCTATTTTTCTAAACATTTTCTATATATATACTGATACGTATATATATAGTTGTTTTCTTAAAACACAAATGATGTAATACTGTTTTGCTTTTTGCTTTTTAAATGAAAAATATGATGGTACCTTTCTAGATGTACACATATGTCATTCAAAAAAATGTTTGAATAATCTATCATGTGACCGTATGTTGATTTATTTATGTTTCTATTGAGAGACATTTAGATTGTTTCCACTTTTGGTTATTTCAAATAATAATGCCGAATTACACTGAAGGATAGTTTTTTACCATTTTACATTCCTAATAAAAGATATGAAAGTTTCTTTTCCTCACATTCCTACAAATACTATTACCAATCTATCATTTTTTAAATTTACTTATTTTTAAAGAGTGGGAAAGGGAGGGAGAAAGAGAAGGTGAGGAACATCAATGTGAGAGAGAGACATCAATTGGTTGCCTTTCTTAGTTACCCTGATTGGTAATGGAACTGGTGACCTTTCGCTTTCCAGGATGACATCCAACCAGTTGAGCCACACCAGTCAGGGCAATCTGTCATTTTTTTGTCGTTTTATTAAGTGAAAAACTGTATCTCATTTTTAATGTTTTCTTAAAAAATGATTAAAACTGAGTATCTTTAGAATTAGTTTTAGACATTTATATCTTTTTTCCTTAAACTATCTCTTCACATCTTTTTCCCATTTTTCTTCATGTATTACCTTATTAGAAGAACTGCACTATCAAATGGAACTCTGTAATAATTGAAATGTTTTATAACTTTGCTGTCCACTTCGTTAGCTAAGTGTGGCAGTTGAGCACTTGAAACATGTCTGGTGTGACTGTGTATTGAAATTTTATTTTTATTTTAATTTGAATTTTATTATATTTTAATTAATTTATTTATCCTCACCTGAGGACATTTTTTTCATTGCTTTTAGAGTGAGAGAACTGGGGGGAGAGAGAAAGAAACATCAATGGGAGAAACATCGATTGGTTGGTTGCCTTTTCATACATGCCCCAGCTGGGTATTGAACCTGTAACTTGGGTGTGTGCCCTGACTGGGAATCAAACCCACTACCTTTCAGTCTATGGGATCCTGCTCCAGCCAATTGAGCCACACTGGCCAGGGCTAATTTGAATTTGAAATAGTTACATATGGCTAGTGGCTATTATTTTGGACAGTACAACTTTAGACGAAGGAATTAAGAATTCACTCTAATCTGAATTGCTAATATTTTTTGTTTAGTTTTTTTTTTTTTGCAAGTGATACATTGACATAAAAATAAGTTGCAAAACATACTTTTTATTGTGTTATCATAATAGTAATATAGCATGAAAGTGACTGTGAGCTCTATTTTGAGGAATGTGTTTTCTTGATAATTTTTTCTAATTTTATTGAGATATACTGTAATTAAAAATGGTAAGATATTTAAAGTTATGATTTTATAATGTTATGTATACATTGTGAAAGGATTCCCTTCCATCGAGTTAATTAACAGAGCCATGACCTCACATATTTACCTTTAGAATGTGTTTATTTTAGAAAATAACCTCAAATTCTTCAGTTAAAATGTATGTATATACCTTCTCTCCAGTGCTCCACTCCAGTTACGAGAACTAGTAAACTGTCGTTGGGCAGAAGAAGTAACACAGCAGCTTGATACTCTTCAACTCTGCAGTCTCACCAAACATGAAGAAAATGAAAAGGACAAGTATGTCCTAGATTTCTCTGTTTAAGTATTTAAGAGATTTTGTTGTATGTTATTTTAGTGAAATGATTGAAATATTTTTTTAAGGTTTTATTTTTATTTATTTTTAGAGGGAAGGGTGGGGAAGAGGGAGAGAAACATCGATGTGAGACATCAGTTGGTTGCTTCTCACATGCCCCGAACTTGGGGGCTAGCCTGCAACCCAGGCATGTGCCCTGACTGAGAATCGAACCAGCAACCTTTCAATTCACAGGCCAGCACTCAATCCACTGAGCTACACCAGCCAGGGCTGTTTTGTTGTTGTACTTTTGTAGGTGAACACTTTTTTTTTCCTGACATGGTACAGATATTACTATCTGGAAAGATCCTTTTTTTTTAAATCCTCACCCAGGGACATTTTTTTAATTGGATTTAGAAAGAGAGGAACATTGATCAGTTGCCTTCTTGTACATGCCCTGACTGGTGGCTGGACCCACAACCTAGGCATGTGCCCTGACCAGTGATTGATCTGGCAGCCTTCCAGTTTACAGGTCGACACTCCAACCAACTGAGCCACGCTGGGCAGGGTGATGCTCTTTTGTTACAGCCTTTTATAAAAGGAGTGGAACTGACACAGTTGCTTATCTGCTAATCTCTTTTCTTTGCCTCTTGATGCCTGCTGGCTACCTTTGGGTTTGCTGAAGGTGCCTGTAGGTCATTGATTAAGAATTGTTCTGATAAATTTCTTATATTTTAAAAGCTATATCCTAAATTCTGTCGTGTGGAAATCATGCTAAATGAGCTTCCAGACATAATAACTAATATGCTGTTTCTTCATACTTTTATTAATTTTCTTTTTGATACTTAGATTACTTATAAATGAGAATATAAAATGTAGCCTTGTTTAGGTATTTTTCTCTAAGCTCAAAGGTACTTCAATGATGAGCAGGACAAATGCAACACTGTCTCTTTAAAGACTGGAGAAAATTTTAAACAAATTTTTATTGTGGTAAAATACACATAACAAAATTTACTATCATACCATTTTTAAGTGTACAGTTCAGTAGTTTTAAGTATGTTCACAAATAGTGTAAGTTTATTTACTCAGAGTTTTGGAGGCTGGAAGGAAGTCCAAGGTCAAAGTATTGTCATGTTTGGTTTCTGGTGAGACCTCCTTATCCAAGGATAAGGTGAGACTTGGATAAGGCTTTTTTCTGTGTCCTTACATGGTCTTTTCGCTATGCGTATACATACACTTTTGGCATCTTTCTTCTCTTGTCATGACGTCAGTCCTATTGGGTTAGGCCTTCACGCTTATGGCCTCATTTAACAACCTTTTTCTTTTTTTTACGATTTTTATTTTATTTATTTTTAGAGAGGGGAAGGGAGGGAGAAAGAGATGGAAACATCAGTGTGTGGTTACATCTCATGTGCCCCCTACTGGGGACCTGGCCTGCAACCGAGGCACGTGCCCCTGCACTAGGAATTGAACCAGCGAACCTTTGGTTCACAGGCCGGCGCTGAATCCACTGAGCCACACCAGCCAGAGTCATTTAACATCCTTAAAGGCCCGGTTTCTTAGTGCAGTTACATTAGGACTTTCAGCATAGAAATTGAGAGGCAGGGGGAGAAGCAGTTCAGTTTATTACCAGGTCCATCTTCATTCTTTTGCATGTAGATATCCAACTTAAGGGAAAACTCTATTTTTTTAAACATGGAACACTTCACAAATTTGCATGTCACCCTTGCGCAGGGGCCATGCTAATCTTCTCTCTGTCATTTCCAATTTTAGTATATATGCTGCTGAAGCAAGCATGGGAAAACTTTTAAAAATTGAGTTCATTTTTCATGAGGCTCTGGTATTTGTGCAATTAATTGCATGTCTTGATTATTGTTAGCATTGGCCAGGTTTAGAAAAAGTATTTCTGTGTGAATGTAGTCTCACATATTCTGATTTGCCCAAAAATGTAGGAGTAGGCTAGAATTTATCATCTATAGTAGTGGTTTTCAACTGGTGTGCCACAGCACACTGGTGTGCTACAAAAATTTTTAAAACATTGACCTGACTGTCTAGTCAGAGGATCTGTCTCCTTTTCCCTTAGATTATCAAATAAGATAACAGCCAGCACAATAATCGCTATTTGATGTGATTGAATAAAAATAACAACTATTGTTTTTTTTGTCAGATCAGCAAAAAATAATAGTTTTTGGTGTGCCACAGAATTTTAGTAATTAGTTTATGTGTGCCATGAAATGAAGAAGATTGAAAATCGCTCATCTATAAGTGATGCTAGGAAATTATGCCATATTTGTACTTTATTCAGAAACTGTTCTGCATTTTTCACATGATCTAAGTTCTTAATAGATTAATGAAAATAGTATTTAAAAAAAATTGTATTCCAATGTAATTCTTTAGGTTAGTTTACAGAAGCCATAGAATATGTTTTATATTGTTTCCTGAGATATAATTGTTTAAAATTGATGAACTTTCCCAAACTTAAGAATTTGTTGAGATAATTATATTTCAATATTAATTTATTTAATTTATAACTGTATTTTTTTTTCCATAACATGTAGATGTGAAAATCACCATGAAAAACTTAGTGTATTTTGCTGGACTTGTAAGAAGTGTATCTGCCATCAGTGTGCACTTTGGGGAGGAATGGTGAGCAGAACAAATTTCAGCATATTGTGTTTAGAGACTAGAAAGCACTGAAATTGCCGTTTGATTTAGATAGAAAATAATATTTTACTCTGTTCATAGAATGAAAATTAAATGATTCTGCTTGCTTACAGAAGGTATCATTTCTGTTACCATAAAAACATCTTTTGTGGGAGGTTTTGACATAAGATGTGTATTCTTTACATAAATATTTTCTTTTCATTGTAAACCTATAAAATGTATATTCATCTGTAAATCTTTTGTTGAAGTGGAACAACAACTTTGTGAAAAATGTGAAAATATGAATGCAAACGTATAGATCTTATAACTTAATTTTTAATTTTTTCCAATCTAATTTAAATGTGGTTTTTTAAGGGTACCTACCTTTATCAAGTCTAAACATTCAAGTTAGTTTTCCTAAAAATAGCTTTTTATTTTATATTTGTGTCCTGTTCAATTAATATTGTTATATTCTTGCAGTAATAAGTACAATAGGTATAAATAGGTTTGAGAATAAATGATAAATTCTTGGTGGGGAAAGGTAGTCGTGGTGGGAACAAGTGGTTAGACATCTAGACATGCTTGTTAGCAATGAGAATTAATCACTTTTTGGTCATCATTTAGCATATTTTAGAGAGAGAATGGCAGGCAAGTTGGTTGAGTAGAGCTCAATACAGAGAGCTTTCTGCTCAAATTTGAATACTCCTGTGCTGACTAGAAAAAATTCAGTTCCCACAATTTAGTACTTTGAATAAATGGTTTTTGTAAGAAACAGTGGAAACATTTTTTCCGTATTTTAAGTGGGTATGCAAAAATGCACATCTTTTTTTTCCTTAGAGACCATGGCTAGGTGTTTTGGTTGAACAAGACAACTCTAATACAAACTTACGTTAATAGGAAATTTTTTATAATAGAAATTTAAGTTCTGTTTATCAATCCAGAGAGATGTAAATTAACAATACTAAAATTGGAGAGGAAATTGATTTTAGGTTGTCAGCTCCAATATGTATGTTTGGTTTTTTTGTTTTTTGTTTTTTGGGTTTTTTTAAACTTTAATTGGATTCGTAAGGCTAATTTGTATGGGCCTTCTGCATCTGCAGTAACTCTGGTATGAGGAATAAGTTCATTGCTTTTGCTAATAGTGTACCATGGGTCTTTTTCTCAAGTGTTTAATTTCTTCTCTTGTGCTAGAGACTGGGTATTCAGTGATTTAAGCAACTCCTGGTTTGTTTAACAAAGTAAAGGCAGCCAAAGAGATAAAATTCATTAGAAAATATTTACCAGTTTATTAGTGTTTATAGAGTGTTAATAAAAAATGTAAATGCAGGTGATATATGTGAAAATGTTCTAAAGCTACTCTTATTAATTTAAATAGCACGGTGGACATACCTTTAAACCTTTGGCGGAAATTTATGAGCAGCATGTTACTAAAGTGAATGAAGAGGTAGCCAAGCTTCGTCGGCGTCTCATGGAACTGATTAGTTTAGTTCAAGAAGTGGTAAGACTACTATTAAAAGATCATTATCCCCTTTATAGTCTATACTATATGATTTACTTTTTTATAATATAAATCAATCAGATATTGAAATCAAGATTTTGAGATTTGATAGGATATAATTATAGTCAGGTCTCACCAACTTCAAACTAGTTGAGGAATTTGGATCTAAATCCCTGGTCTCTTCTACAGTTGGAAGCAGATAATTGCCTCTTACAGAGTAACAGAGAATCAGTCAGTTAAATAAGCCTGTTTTGTTATAGAATCAACATTGACTTTTAGAAAGTCATTAAGTCATTCATTCTTTGGACCCGCAGCTTTTGGGAGTTTCTGTTACCAAGGAATGAATTATTTCTGATGTCCAGAATTGAAAGAGTATTATAAAATAGTACTCTTTAGATGCTGTATAGGTCAAACAGTTTTGGCAAGCTATTTACCATTTATAATATTTCTTTTGGAAAATACAGCAAACTTCAAACATTTAAATACTAAATATACTTTTGGAATGTATTATGTTTAAAGTTGCCAGAATGTAATTATTGTTAATGAGGTTTTTGGACCATTCCTAAGATGTTATCTTTATTTTACCCCTTTCAGGAATAAAAATTCAGATCATTATAACCTTCCTCATACAGAATATGCGTTTTAAGTTGTATGTATGCTATCTACAAAATCATTTATAATATAAACAAGTGGTTGGTGTCTATTTGGCCTTTATCTAACTACCTTTTACTTTATTATTTTTTCTTGGCAATATTATATTTTGGTCATTTAGGGAGGGTGTTCTAGGTTGAGACTCTCACTGCCTGTATTTGTAATAATGGTATAGGAAATGTTGCTTTTTATTTTCTGAGGTATGCTATTACAGAATTTTATACATACACTGCAGTCTTTGAAAATCTGGGTTTTTTCCCTTTGTTCTGAATAAAATGAAAAACTTTGTAAACTAGAATACATGTGGTTTTAAATTTTTTTAAATGTATTTTAGGGTTTTGTACGACGTGAACTGGCTTTGGTATATATTTTGTTTTCAGGTGGTGGTTTCTTATGTATTTTTACAGAGAAAGGAAGGGAGGGAGAAAGGGAGAGGAAACATCGAAGTGAGAGAGAAACATTAATCGGTTACTTCTTGTATGTGCCCCAACTAGGGTTGGAACATGCAACCTAGGCATGTACCCTGACCTGTGATTGCACCAGCAACAATGACCAACCAACTAAGCCATACTGGTCAGAGCTCAGATGGTGGTTTATTATCAACGATACAGTTGGGGCTTTGAGTATGTGGTCTGTAGATGTTACTTAAACCAATTTTTGTAATTATATACCTACCTTTTATTTATTTGTTTATTGATTTATCGATTATTTTGTTTCTTTTTAAGAATTTTTTTCCTTTTTTTTTAAGAAAAGATTTTACTTACTTTTAGAGAGGGGAAGGTAGGGAGAAAGAGAGGAAGAGAAACATCAATGTGTGGTTGCCTTTCACACGCCCCCTACTGGGGACCTGGCCTACAACCCAGGCATGTGCCCTGATTGGGAACCAAACCAGCGACCCTTTGGTTTGCAGGCCAGTCCTCCATCTACTGAGTCACACTAGCCAGGGCAAGAATTTTTTGCTTACTCAGTTCAACATACACAATGTTTTTAAAGCCATGAGTTTCCTGTGATATATGAACAATAAAAAGTATCGGCTTATAATTTTTAAGAGGAAATTAATTGACCTTAAGAATAACAGCAGTGGTTACTTTAATGCCTGTTTGCTTCTGTTCTAAAAACTCTTGAATTAAAATTTTTTTACCTGTTTATTTTCTAGGAAAGAAATGTGGAAGCTGTAAGAAATGCAAAAGATGAGCGTGTTCGGGAAATTAGGAATGCAGTGGAGATGATGATTGCACGGCTAGACACACAGCTGAAGAATAAGCTTATAACACTGATGGGTGAGTGTTTTTCTATGCTGCTGGGGTACCTGGTGCTTTGAGTCTTCTTGAGGTTCAATCTTTGAAGAGAAAAGATTGGTTTTAGAAATAAAAGTTCCTCTTCCTAAGTGTCCTCCCCTAGAAACATTACTCCAAATTAATGTAACGCCTGCTAGCCTCATGGGGCATGCTTCTAGCTCTTCAAATTTTGTGATTTAAAAAGAAAATGGCCTGATTAGGCAAGTATGCCTATCCTGTTGACTTTTTTAAACATGTCAAGCAGTTTTTCCCCTGCCTGCCTTCCCTTCTTTCATAATTTCTGTAATAATAATTCCTTTATCCCTCTGTGTTTCCAGTTTCTTGAAGCTATTTTCCTTTTGGGGCATTCTTTTTTTACAAGTTACAGTCAAAGAACATACCTTTTGCTGATTGCTGACATTTAACCTAAATGTATGGCCCAGTTACTACGTTCTTTTTAAGCCACAGTTAAATTTTGGGGAGGAATTATTTCAGAATAATTGACTGCGTAAAAAATTTACTTTTCTAGATCTTTATAGTCCTTTTGAATAGGCAGTGACATTACTTTGTTTAAAAAGTATATTGTTGTTGTATATTTCTTAGATTAACAGACCAAATTGTATTTTGTTTAAAGCAGTAGTTAGGGTTGGTTCTGAAATCCTCTTGTCAAAGCTGCTGTAATGTTAGATTCAACCTCTTAAAGCTCTGGGAAAATTTTTTAGGGTAGCTGTAATGAAGAAAGTTCGCTTTCTTGAAATTGATTCCTTGTTATTGAATGTAATTAGTGAAAGTTAATTTCATTCCTAAACCAGTAATGAGCCTGAGTGTTGGTGTTTTGCTATTTTTAAATAGGTCAAAAGACTTCTCTAACACAAGAAACAGAACTTTTGGAATCCTTACTTCAGGAGGTAGAGCACCAGGTAATGAAATACTGAATGTGATAAAGTCTTTGTCCTTTTTTGCCCATATGCATTAAAAATTTTTTAATAGAGATTATAGAAAATTAAAAGATCTGGTGATATGTGTGCTATACTGGGGATTTTTATGAAATGGGATTTAGCTGAATCCTCTCAAGTGGTCTCCATCATGTGTGGAAAATAGATGAAATTAAGATTTATTGTTTTGTAATAATGGAATTTTTTTTACTGTGAATAGAGGATAGGATCTAAATCTATAAAAGATTAAAATCTTCAGACATTGTCACTTAAATAGTGCCTTTTGAGATAGAATGTTACTGCAAGTCACTTACATATAGTGATTCTTATCCTAAAATTAGCATTTTTATATAAAGAAATTTTAGCTAAGTACCAAATAAATAGCAGGCATTGTTTTAGATCCTTGGAACACAGCAGTAGACAAAATGGAAAAATATCTGTCCCCATAGAGTTTATATTTTATATTTCAGTAGGTGGGTATGAAGTTCATAGTGAATGGATAAATAAAATGTGTAGTATTAAATTACTATTTGACGTATGTTCATTTGTCTTTTTTTTTTTTAATGTGTCATCCTTGTGTAGGGGCCAAGCTAATCTCTGTATTGTTCAAATTTTAGTATATGTGCTGCTGAAGTGAGCACTGTATTAATGTCTTGAATTTGATTTTTGGAATTTTTAAATTCCCCTCTATGCGTGATACATAGCTGTCTCCTGGGATTGTTATCTTAATTTTCATCGTGTGGATTTTCTTTACTTCTGTCTTGGGTTGAATCACTTTTCCTGATTCTCATGGCTTTCACTCTCTGGTTTCTTCATTTGTTTTGGTATTATACTCGTTCTTGTAACTTTCCTAAAAGGATAATTAGAATAAATTTTTAAGACTGTCTGAAAATAAGTCTTACTCAGTCTTTACAATTGATAGTTTGGCTGGTAGCATTTAGTATATACATATTTATTTAAATGTTCTTGTTTTTCCCTTCAGTCCTCCCACTCATAATTGTGCATGTTCCTCTGGCCCAGAGACTTTATATTTCCTCCTCCAGAGAGTAAGCCAGCAACCTTCCACTAGATTGACATGACAAATTCAAACCAGCTGCGGTGAAGTAAGGACAGGGATCTGTAAATGTGTGTGCTTTATTTATTTATTTATTTTTTTGACAGATTTTTGAGGAATAATTGACATGAGATAAACTTTGAGTATTTAAAGTGTATCCTGATATCAAGATACCTTATCTTGACTTTATAAAGACTTGATAAAGTATATATCGATAAGTTTTAACAAATGTATACACCTTTGAAGCCATCACCATAGTCAAGATAGTAAACATAATCATTTTCTCCCAAAATTTCTTTTATGGTTCTGTAAGCTTTCCTACTTGTACCCATGCTTCCACCTTCAGGTAACCTCCATCTGCTTTCTGTCATCATAGATGTTTGCAGTTTCTAGAGTTTTATGTATGTACATACATATGTACTCATTTTATGTCTGACTTCTTTGAGCAAAATTATCCTGCAATTTGTTCATAATGTCAGCAGTTTTTTCTTTTTTAGTTGTTGAGTAGTATTCTATTGTATGTATAAACCACGATTTGTTTTTCTGTTTACCTCTTTATGATCATGTGGGTTGCTTTTTGTTTTTGGTTTTTATAAATAAAGCTACAATAAACATTCGTGTACAAATCCATACGTATATTTCCTTTTCTCTTGGGTCCATCCAAGAAAGAATGCCTGGGTCAAATAGTAGATAAATAACTTTCTTCTAACTGCCAACCGTTTTTTGAAGTGATCACGCCATTTCATACTTCCATTAGTAGTCTCTGAATAAAGTACCAGTTCTTCCACATCCATGACAACACATGTTATAGACAGTCTTTTGAATTTTAGCTATTCTCATAGGAGTGTAATAGTATTTCATTATGGTTTTAATTTGCATTGTCTTATACCTAATTATGCATTAAAACTAAAACTTTTTTTGAACAAAATAATCTTCAAAAACCAGGTTTACAGGCCATAGACTTGGAAGAGACATTTGTCGTTCCTAACACTGAACAAGAAAAGGTATCTGGAATTCATAAAGAAATACAGCTCAGTCATAAATAGCTAAAACAATCTCATGAAAAGTGGGCAGAGGATATGAACAGAAAGCTCACAGAACTGGATGTTCAGATGACCAGTAAATGTGAAATTTCATTGGTAATCTGATAAACTATAAACTAAAATCACAACAAAATGCTATTTTATACTCTTTAGATTGGTAAAAATTTGTAAGTTAACATGTAGATATTGACAAGAATGTACAGCAAAGGGAACTAATACACTTCTCCAGTGCTGGAATCTCCAAACATTGGCGAGCAGTTTGCTGAAGTTGTCAGTATGCTTTAACCAGTAATTCCAGTCCTTGAGAAACTCGCATGTATGTACAAGGAACAGTGCACTCCACTTACTTTTAAAAATTTGCATTGATAAAGAAGATACGTGAGTTGTATTATATTAATGCAATGATATTTAAAACTGTAAAAATGAGTAGATTATGAATATTTATACAATTAAATGGCAAAAACAATGTTAAGAATGTAGGCTACATGTTGATATATATAGCCTTATTTATGTGACATGTGAAAACATTTAGAACAGTGTTCATGGATATGCATAGTACTGATGGAAACACATGTACTGTGTAGCAGTAGTAAACTGCAGTTGAAGGAGTGAATGACCTTTGGAGGAAATGTGGTCTAGGAAGAATATTCACAGTATGTAGTCAATAAATATTTGAATAAAAGCTGTACGTTTTTACATTTATCATATACCAGTCATGTCATTATTCTTGGTGAAATATAAGCAACTGACATTGAAAAGATACAGAATCCAGTTGTGAGTTTTATGAATATCATCCATCGTGCAGTTGATGAGTTTGCTATGCTGCTATAACAAAATACCACAAACTAGGAGGCTTAAACAGAAAAAATTCATTTTTTCATTTTCCTGGAAGCTGAAAGTCCAAGATCAAGGTATTGGCAGGTTTGGTTTCCACTGAGGTTCCTGTTTGGCTTGTAAATAAATGGCTGCATTTTCTCTTTCCTAAAGACCTTTCCTCCAAATTATTTACATTCTGAGGTATTGAGACTGCAACATACAAGTTTGGGGGGCACATAGTTCAGCCTTTTAATAGTTTACAAAGCTGTTTTCACATACTGCTTCATGATTGTTAAACCTAGCAAAGCAAGCATAGCTATTATTGCAGTTTTACGCATAAACAGACTCTCAGAGTCATACAATTAGTGCGTGGCAGAAGTAGGACTTCAAAATAGTTGTCTTGAATACAAAATTAGTAGTGTTTTAACAATCACGCTTATTTTACTAAAGTTGGATTTCCTTTTTTAAAACTATATATTTTAATGATTATGCTACTACAGCTGTCCCATTTTTTCCTTCCCTTTATTCCCCTCCATACTGCACCCCCCCCCCAAGTGCATATCCATGGGTCATACATAGAAGTTCTTTGGCTTCTCCATTTCCTATAATATTCTTAACCTCCCCTTGTATGTTTTATATGTACTATTTGTGCTTCTTATTCCATGTACCTTTTCCCCTATTCCCCTCCCCAACCCCTCTGATCTCCGTATCTGTGATTCTGTTCCTGCTCTAGTAGTTTGCTTAGTTTGTTTTTGTTTTTGTTTTTAGGTTTAGTCATTGATAGTTGTGAGTTTGTTGTAATTTTACTGTTCATAGTTTTTGATCTTTTTTTCTTAGACAAGTCCCTCAAACATTTCATATAGTAAGGGCTTGGTGATGATGAACTAACTCCTTTAACTTGACCTTATCTGGAAAGCACTTTATCTGCCCTTCCATTCTAAATGATAACTTTGCTGGATAGAATAATCTTGGATGTAGGTCCTTGCCTTTTATGACTTCGAATACTTCTTTCCAGCCCCTTCTTGCGTGCAAGGTTTCTTTTGAGAAATAGTCTAATACGAACTCCTTTGTAGGTAGGTAACTGTCTCCTTTTCTCTTGCTGCTTTTAAGATTCTCTCTCTATCTGTAAATTTGGCTAATGTAATTATTATGTGCCTTGGTTTGTACTGCTTTGGGAGACTCTGAGCTTCTTGGATCTCATGGAAGTCTTCCTTTGGTGAGATTGGGGACGTTCTCCTTTATTATTTTTTTCAAATAAGTTTTCAATTTCTTGCTCTTCCTCTTCTTTTTCTGGCACCCCTAGGTTCAGATGTTGAAACATTTAAAGTTGTCCCAGAGGTTTCTAAGCCTCTCATTTTTTTGAATTCTTATTTCTTCATTCTGTTCTGGTTGAGTGTTTATCTCTTCCTTCTGCTCCAAATCATTGATTTGAGTCCTGCTTTCCTTCCCTTTACTGTTGGTTCCCTGTATACATTTCTTTATTTCACCTTGCATAGCCTTCATTTTTTCCTCCATTTTGCGACCATACTCAACCAATTCTGTGAGCATCCTGATTACCAGTATTTTGAGCTGTGCATCTGATAGGTTGGCTGGCTGTTCATGGCTTAGTTCTATTTTTGGAATTTTGAACTGTTATTTCATTTGGGCCATATGTCTTTGTCTCAGCACACCTGATATGTTGGGAGGGACAGAGCCTTAGGTATTGGCCAGGGTAAGGCAACCCAGGTCACTGTGTGGTTACACCGTACGTTGGGGAGGGTTCCGAGAGGGAACAATGCTGTTTGCTCAGCTCTCGGCCAGCTTTCAGTCACTTTCCCCGCTACCCACAAGCAATTTGGGCCCTTCTAGTGCTGATTCCTGGGTTGGTGGGTTTGTGTACATTCTGGGACCCCATGGGTCTCTCCAGTGAACTGTCCTGTGAGGTTGGGAGTTTCTCTCGCTGCCGCAACTCCCTCGGGTTTTTACAGCCAGAGGTTTTGAGGTTTTCTTTTCCCATGCTGGAACCCTGGGTTGCCTGGTCTGTCTTGCTCCCCAGCTGTTCTCCCCAGTGTATCCACATGCAAATGTGGGACCACTCAGACCACCAGCCACCGCCTTGCCGCCTGTCCTCTCTGCCAGGGCTGCTCATCTCCCCTCCTGCCCGTCTGGGTGAGTGTTTCTTCTGTAACTCCTTGGTTGTTGGACCTCCATACAGTTCAATTTTCAGGCGGTTCTGGTTATTTTTTGTTTTTAAATTTTCTGTTATCCTTCTTTTGGTTGTATGAGGAGGCAAAGTGTATCTACCTACACTTCCATCTTGGCCAGAACTCACATACAGTAAGGATTTCTCACTTCTTGACTTTGGCATAACTTAGTGTTTCCCCTCTTGATACAGGTTAAAACTTCTTGTGTGTATTACATCTTAAGGTTTCTCTGGTTCCCTGGTATGCATTTTAAGAAATCCTTGTTTGAAGGCTATGAACCTGTAGGAGTTTTTTTATTAATATACCTAATGGCTTCACTGTAGCAGTCTAAAACATATTTGCAGTTGTTTAAAATTGGATTTACCCTGCCCCGACCGGTGAGACTCAGTTCCTTGGGCATTGTCCCTCAAAAGTGAAACACTGTGGGTTCAGCTCACTGTCAGGACACGTGCCTGGCTTGCAGGTTTGGTCCCCAGTTGGTTGCGCGGTACAGGAGACGACCAATCGAGGTTTCTCTCCCTTTATTTCCCCCCTTTCCCCTATGA